GCTAAATCTGTCGTGAGTGCTCAACAGCACGTAAGAATTTGCAGAATTAACACCGTTCCACATTTTTCATAGACAAGAAAACATTATCAAACCATTTGCAAAGCATAAGTCTTGATATTGGTAGCCTTATTCTAATGAGTCCTGGTGGTATATAAAAGGAAAGTAGTATTTCATGTAACAGTTAATAATATTTAAGCGTAAATATTGTACACTTCAAGAAACTGTCTTTCGAACATTTCGAGGTCGATGTTACTAAACGATGCCTAATTATATTACTACATGTGTACATTTACCATTTACTTCATGACCTGCGTTGAATCTTGATTAGCACTCAGCAAAAACTGGAATAGTAGTTGCGTATATAAACCACTGCAGCCTCCATATTGTAAACACAAAGTCATTAATATCAACATTTCTTAAATAAGATTTTAAACGGTCCCAATCAGTCCAATAACGCCAGTGTTTTTCCTCGTTGTAGGTTACACTATTTATGAGTGTTCTTGAGTCATGACAGAACATTTCAGGGTCAAAAACAGCCAAAAATATTTTTGGAAATTGTCCTTCGTGTCGTTGTAATTTCTCGCTTGAAGTGAATCACTAATGAATTTCAATGAATTTCCAACAGACTGGCGCATGCGCACGCCAAACGGCCCCTTGTTACCCTAGTCTATTTATACTTTTGTCACTGGTTTCTGGACTGGTTTCTGGCTTTTTAGCCAATCAAAATTGATCTACTGTTGTTATGATGATACACAGAAACTCAAAGCTCGATSCTGATTGGCTGAAAATAGCTTTCGGGTTTCCTGTGTGAACAAGAATTTATCTGGAAACCAGTCGGGATTCCTATGTGAATCAGTGCTACGTCATTTTGCACTAGTGCACTCTCAAGCGATAGTCCGCTGTCTAAGAGCCATTGGGGGACTCTGGGCTCGTGATTGACAGTCTTGTGTCAAACATTTCGATGGGTCCCCTCCCACAAGAACAAAGAAGTTTATATTCAAAGTAGTAAATGTGGGTTTCCTGTGGTACAACTTTCAAAATGGCGGCCAAAGCGATCGTATTGCCATCTACCGGTAAAATACTCCAGTGAATACTCCATATTCTTTTCGTTTATATGATTTTATTTGAAGTATCGCTTTCAACTACATCTTTTTTTTGAAAAATCTCACTAGTTTCCGGAAACGAGTTGAACTAGTCTAAATCCGCCCCTGGGAATGTGAAAACCCCCCTAGCGGGAGAGGACACTATTTGCTATAGGGCTGTGTACCGTGTTAAAGCTTTGTTGTTGTTGTTGTGTTTTTTTTTTATAGTGGTTTTTCGACTTTTATATAGCCTAGGGTTATATAGGTTTGTGGTTGGGAATCTGTTCTTGGCATTTATAGGGTCTGGCATATATAGGGTCTCTCTGTTTTTTGGGATAGAGTTGCAATTTGGTTTTAGTTTGAATAGGGGTACGTTGTGGTCGGTTTCGGCCTGGAATAAGCTACACCTTAACAGCAGGGACATTTGTCTGCGCATGCGCAAGTCAAATGGAATACATGGCGCGCCGTATACCTGTGTAGGCGGGCAACTTTGAAAATGTTAATAAACATGGCGACGGCTTTGTTGAGATGGTGTCCTGTCTTTTGCATTTATTTGGGTGTGTTTTACTCTTCCAATGAATAATGAAAGAAGATGTTTTGTGTGTAGATGAAACTGTGCAAAAATAATCATTTAGAGTAAGTTTAAGAACTTGCTTTGGGATAAATACAAGCCGTGATGAAATCATTCTATTCGAAGGTGAAAAATTTTACTAAAAATCGCACGTTTTCTGTAGGCTGATTTGAGTTATCCTGGCAATTTTGAAAGGCGAAATTACATTCCTATTCTTTTCACAATTATATAAGATGTTAAGTTAGATAGGTTTCGATTCTGGGCAGGTCCCCGGTTCTTGGAGTAATAACTTTAAACAAGGGCGTCCGACATATCGAACTCTAGAAAAAATAGAAAAACATTTCGATTGAAGCTTAGTCCGAATTCTTGGTCGAAAGTTTTACACTTTAATTGTTTTATATGCTCGAGAGATGAGAAAATACATTCAAAGTTCTGGCTTTTGGGGGCTTTTGGGGACTTATATTTAAGTGGACATTTTACGATGAAGCTTAACAAACAACTTCCATATGGATGTCGTCSGAATTGCATCAACCACAACCAACCAAAATGTCTAGGACTGGCCTATYGTATCCCTGYCCCATGGGACAATCCCAACATCTCCCTTGAARCACCAATAAGACATGTCAAGGAGTATAATATATGACACCCCTAACAGTCCAATGTCTCCCTTCTATCCTCTATTCCAAATCCCCTTAGGGACTGTCTTGGAAATCCCTTACTATTTCCTGGCGTCTACACTACAGTCTACTATAGTGTCCGATCCACGAGTTCCATGGAGACTGCCAGTGGAGGCTTTCTAGGACATCCCCTACCTGTCKCCTGCAACCTGGTCTACCCTCTATGCTAGTACTGTCTTGAACATCCCCAAGTCCCCATGGTGACTGTCTTGGCGKACATCCCTAAGTGTCCCCTGTCCCGTGGCCTAACATATGGTCTACAAGTGTCTCCCCAATTCCAARGTCCCCTTGGGGACTGTGTAGCGACATGGGATACCATAGGCCAGTCCTGTACATCACTATTGAGTTAATTCGGTGGCCACGATCCCCTTTCTCAATCTATGCTTGCCGATATTCGATGTCGTGGATATGTATTCAATAAACTCAAATATGTTTGATTTTGTTCAATAGCCATTCGATAGACATATATCAAAATTCGATAAATTCATCTTGAGAAATATTCGAATTCCCTTAGTAACCTCATTTGTCTTGACCTCGGACAAGATTTTGCCCACTTTGCATCTCTTTATAGTCAAACAGTAAACATCTCTTCCACATAGTCTTGAAATGCTTTAGTAAACACAGGGAACTTTGTTCCTGTTTTCTTGATCTACGAGCAAAGCTCAGGAGGCGGTGGACATTCCGGGATTTTACCAAGCACAAAATGATCAGCCCTGAATGCTGCAAGATCCTCCTCAGAACACTTCAGATTGCAAGTAGTAGATGGTGCTACCTCAGGTGTAGCTGCGCTGGTTGATGGCTGTCCTGATGGAACTATTGCACTTCCAAATGTGGTCTAGAAAAGAATACAAATTTTATCATTATGTATTTCCACTTGCACATGAATACACAAAAACAACTTTAGAATAATCTGGTCTCGGTTTCGTGGTTTCTATGAACCTGTGAGATAGATACTGGGTTTGCTTTCACCTCTCAGAAGATGTACATTTACTCCAATAGTCTTGTTCAAAACAAAAGAAGAAAACAAAAGACAAAAAGTGTCAGTTTTTTTAAGAACGACATGTCAGCCAATCAGAGAAATCAGAGAAATCGTTCTGAGAGTGATGAAAACCTACCCTAGACACTGTGCTTAACACTCTGTTCCTTACTTCACTGGTATTGTCTCGAGTCTATTAGACTCTTATATTATGACTATCATGCATTATTTTAGGTATTTTTTCACTTTATATTATCAGCAATCATAGACTTCAATACTATGCATGCACTGGACGACTTTCGCGAGTAAATGAGTATGGCGATCTTGACGAGTGAAGATTTGCTGTTTCAAGCTTATATATACAAGCAGATAATTGATGGTATTTGTTGATGAGCTATAGGCGGCACAGATGTGACAAAATTGGGCGACAAATGCGCGTGAAATTTTATTGCCAAGTACATGAAGTAGAATTAAAAGGGGGTTCCAAGAAAGTAGCTAGTTAATCTTAAATTAATTAGTGTTCTATAAGAAGGGGATACCAGAGCAGGCGATCTTAAAGTACGTAGGCTATCATGATCATCACAAACCTGTTGAACAGTCCCTGGTTGATTGCTGGTACTAGTAGTTGTTGCAAAGGGACTTGCAAGTATCCCAGTATTCACACTCCCAAAAAGAGATTTGTTAGACATTGGTGCTGCTGCATTAGCCGAGCCAAACAAATTTTGACTTGCAGATGACCCAAATAAAGTATTGGATGATAAAGATGACGAAGAAGAAGCCCCTGTTGGACCAAAACTTATGCAAATCAGGGTAAATACTTGAGCGATTTCACAAAACATACAAATTCTATGAGGATATTTCAGAGAACGTTGAGTCTGAGGAAATAACCACTATTTCTGAGCATTTCTTCTCTTTGCAAACCTCCTTTGAGTTATGTCATCTAATAGCAATAGGCAATGTGCAGCGAAGCAATTTTGTGCAGCAAAGCATGATGGTAGTTGTAGTCCTTGCACTTTTATATTTCCACTACAACAGTTCCCCTTAGCAGTCCAAGCAAAATTAGAAGTAGTTTTACCGTTTCTACTAAGAAAATGTAAAAAAGAAACGGCTCTTGGAGATATTTCAGGGTCTCTAATAAGTTTGAGTACTACAACTACCATCATGCTTTGCTGCACAAAATGCATCGCTGCCAGGCGCGTAGCGTGGACTTCTTGGTTAGTACGC